CAGGGTTTCCGAGGGTGTAAATCTTTACGGGAGTAGAAAGCCTCATCTTTCTCCCACGGAGCAGCTGGTAGTTTCGAACCGCTGACATTAAGGTTTGCAGCCCGATTCGTACTGACTTATAATTTCAGGACATGAAGTGTTTATTCTAAACTCTCATTGCACAGTACCATCTGAGAAGGCTGGCTAGTACATAGCATGAGTCACTCCTGGACGGTCTATGGCCAAAAGTTAGACATTAAGGGCTTCTTGACTTGCAGAATGAGGGATACTAAAATAGGCTCTCAGACCTGAAAAGTTCATATGGGCTGTGGCAACCCAGATCTGTGCTCCCAACGAGCAATATGATCAGGCAATTTCTCACTTCTTTGCACTTGTTCCTCTCTACTCGCCTCCCCTATTGTCAGTTAGAACTCAGCTATTTTCTCATTCACTCTTTCATTCTCTTGTCTTCAACCCCAGAATCCACAGAGTTTACTAATCCTTAGAACAAACATACTTAGGAATAACTAACTAGATGAGCTGAAAGTTCCTTCAAGAAGAAAGACAATTTGTCATCACTTTGCTTCTCCTCAACTAGATAATCTCTCGTCCCTTAGCAATGAACTTTCTCTTACTCACATGGTATAAGGTACATTGTAGACATTCAACAAATGTTTATGGCATTAGTTTGACTTGACCTCCATGTAGTCAAGAAACAAGAGGATGGGAGAAGTACTGGAACAACAGGAAAGTGGGAAACTTGGAGTGGAACAGATTACCAGAAGACTGGCCCTCCGCAACGTCTGTTCAGAGTCATCTGGTTGGGCCAGGAGTTTCCCCAACAAGTCCAGAAAGAGGTTGGAAGCCTCCTGAAACACCTGTAAGCTGGAAAAGAAAATGAGCCCCTGGTTTCTCCGCTAATAAACTCTCAGATATAGCAACTGGGTCAGTTCTGAGCAAAGGGACAAGTCCCTGAAAAGGAATACATCAAATTGTGCTCTCCTGTACTCTGCACTCAGTATACACCCAGTCTCAGAAACATACCCTCCAAGGCCTTTCTTTGCCATTTTCCATAGGTCCTTTCAGTCAGGGCCCTGGTTGCTACTGATTCTTAGAACCTGAAAGACTTGAGACAAAGTTGGAGGTGTCTCGGGCTCTTTAAGGGGCCAGCTGGACTCTGCAGGGTCATTTATCTGACCCCTAAATCTGTTACAAAGCAGATTCTTCTCATTTAGCCTTTTCCTAATGGAGAGGGAAAGAGAATAGAGCCAAAATGGCTGCTAGAAAAAAGTGGCCTCTCATCCTACCTGTCACTTGTCTGGTTTCTCTCTAGGTTGAAGGTGCAGGCAAAGTAGGCCTGAATCGCAGCCATTAGGTCCTTTAGGAAGGTTCCATACCAAGATTGCTGCCAGAAAAAGGAGAGAGAGTAAAGACAGCCAGATGTGGGGATGAAGTAAAGAGTAGGAAAAACTATGTATACATTAAAAAAAAAAAAAAAAGGTGTACTGAGGCCTAGTCAAGTAGGCCAAGTGGACAGGAGCCGGGGAGGGCCCAGTCTAGCTGGAGAGTAGCTCTGGGCTACAAACAGCCTGGAACTGTGTTCTGCTTGGCTTGCAAAGAGTTTTAGAGGTTGATAGGCTTTGTAGAGTAAGTTTTTCAAAATAGTTGAGACTATTATTATTTTTTAATTCCTTAAAAACATCCAAGACCAACACTTATCTGTAGCAGGCAGCTCTTGGCTTAGGCCCTGTTAACCATGTCTCCCGTGCTGGTTCTGAATGGGTTCCCCTGCCCACTCAGCTCAACTGTGGCAGGACACAGCATGGGGAAGCAGAAGTGTGGCCTCAAACACAGTGAGTCTCAATCCCTGCTCTACCATTACTGCTTCTGTGACTGTTCATAAGTTGGTGACAACACATGAGTTAGACTGAATTTCAGTCTCCTGCACAAAAATATTGGGTCAACAAAACCTAGGATTTATCATTTCAAAGTAGAGTGTTCTAAAAATTGGGAAACTGCATGTAAATATCTGATTTGGGGGGAAAGAATCTTAGGAAATTAGAACCCTGGACCCGTAGTCCCACATGGCAATAATGGGAGGACGCTGCTCTATTTAGACTGCGTATGTGATCCCCAGTTTGCCACATTTTCCACTATTCTGTGTAATCACACATAGTCTACTTCACTGACTAACATTATCTGCCTTGTCCCAAAAGACTTAAGAGTGTTCAATTCCTAGTCTCCTATGTAGAGAAGAGGAAGGCAGAAAAGGGCAGTAGGGCCAAACAGAACTGGCAGTCAGAAAGTGAGAAAGCCAAGAGGCAGCCATTTTTGTCAGCTCTGAGAGGCTCCTGGCCTGGCACTCACCTGCTGGATGCTGGTGCTCTCTTGGCTGTGTCTGAGTAGGCTGAGCAGCAGTCCAGGCAGCCCTGCCTCACAGCAGAAGGAATACAAGGCAACAGAGTCACTGCAGCTAGACAGAAGACTGCTCAAGACCTGGAGTGCAGGGAGGATGTGGGAAGCACCTTCTAGGATGTCATTCAGGATCTAAGAGTCATGAGGGAAAGAGACAAGGATCAATATCATCTAAGGTAAAAGTAGGACAGTCACAGATATCACAGATGCCCAGGAAGTTGGCAAGGAAGCACAAGGCTCATTACTCTTTTGGGGAGTCTAAAACCCAGAGGAGAAGGAGAACAGGAGTACTATACCAGATAAGAGGAACAAAGAGGGTCAGGTAACAATAGTGACCAAGGGGGAGGACACCTCCCTTCAGGATTTGTCAGGCCCAGTGCCATTCCTATCTGTTCTTACCTTTCTCTAGTTCCTACCTTAAAAGAAAACATATCTAAAAATGAACAACAAGGAAACAAAACAATGCTAGTGAATTCCCAATTACAAGAGAGCTTCAAAAATTTTGTGGAAAAATTCATTACTTTCCATTCCGTTTTTCCACAAAGTTTCTGAAGCTCCTTCATATTTAACTCTAGATCAAGGATTAACAAACTATGGTTGACAGGCCAAATCTACCACGTAATTGCTGTACAGCTAGTTTTTAAATGGTTATAAAAAAGACATTTTTTAAAAAGACTAGCATTTATATCCAGAAATTTATGTTATTCACTGTTCTAAACCTGTGAATTTATTTGTATGCTTAATCTGTGTTGTTGTTGTTGTTGTTAAGTGCCGTCGAGTCGGTTCCGACCCATAGCGACCCTGTACAGGGTTTCCAAGGGTGTAAATCTTTACGGGTGTAGAAAGCCTCATCTTTCTCCTGTGGAGCAGCTGGTAGTTTCGAACCTCTGACCTTAAGGTTCACAGCCCGATTCGTAACCATTATGCTACCAGAGCTCCTTACCCTGTAAATTAAGTACTAAAACCAAAAATCAAACCCACTGCCATCAAGTTAATTCCAACTCACAGCGACCCTACATAGGATCTCCAAGACTGTAAACCATTATGGGAGCAGACAGCTTCATCTTACTCCTGGAGAGAGGCTGGTGGGTTTGAACTGCCAACCTGAGATTAGCAGCCCAGTGCTTAGCCTAAAGTGCCACCAGTGCTGCTTAAAGTAGGTACTATCCCCCATTATGGAGTCCTGGTATAGCGCTGTGGGTTAATGCGCCAGACTGCAAAGTCATTTGAACTGCAAGGTCGGCGGTTCAAGCTCACCAGCTGCTCCTCGGAAACCCTATACAGGGGTCGCTATGGGTTGGAATCAACTCAACGGCACTTAACAACAACATCCCCCATTATATAGATGAGACAACTGAAGTAATTAGTTGAACTAAATCCATTAAATAAGTAATCAAAGATCATGTTCAGTAGGAATTCAACACAGGGAGTCTGATCCCCAGAGGCAGAGCTCTTAACCTGCTTCCTCACATGAAAAAGTCAGCACTATGAGGGCAGTACATGTAAGTGCCGAAAAAGACGGAAAGGCACAGTGCCAAGGAAATTTCATGGGGAAAGGAGTCTTCAACGATGATGCTAAGATAATTGTCAATTCACATGTAAAAGGAGTAACTTCAACCCTTAACACACACTATTCACAAAAATTAACTCAAAATGATCAGAGGCCTAAATGTACAAGCTGAAACTATATAATATTTTAGAAGAAATCAGTAAAATCTTGAAGAACTTGGGCTTAAAGACCCCTAAACCAGACACTAATAAATGTTGCCAAAGCTTGGAGGAACACAGACATTCATATACTGTTGGTGGTCTTTGCATGTTTCATTGTAATATTTGACTTTGTCTTCTCAAGCTACCTTTTGAAATTTCTGTTCAGTTTTTTTTTTTTTTTTTACTTCACTTCTTTCATGCGTGAGAGAGCAAGTTTTAGTCTCTTCTGACATCCACTTGGGTCTTTTCCTTCTTTCTTGTCTTCTTAAGGACTTTTTTATATATAAAAAAATAGACCTTTTTATTGTTGAAGAATTGAGAGAAGGCCTACAGTTCCACACTGAACAAATCATACATTCTGCTTCACTACATGCCTGCAGTCCCCTCCATGCACCAACAGCCAACAGCATTTACTTCTATTCACTTAATGATTACATTCCTCCCTGTTTGTCTCCTGCCACCCTCCCTCTTGGTGTACACTGTCCTCCCAGTCACTCACCCATAACAACATGTACCTGTCCTCTAGCCCATGAACAACTTTCCCTCCCCTTCCTCCCCGCCCTGTAACCATCATAGATTGCTTTGTGACTATTATTTAATTCACAGTTTCAAAGTAACAGAGGCACATATTCTTCCAGCCATCCCAAACCCTTTGTTGAGATCAAATCTCTATCTTGAGGTGTGAAGTTTTGAATGGTGATGGTGGTAGTGTGCTGTGTATAGTGAACCTGTACAGGGTTTCTGAGGCGGTAAATCTTTATAGGAGCAGAAAGCCTCCCTCATCTTTCTCCCGCAGAACAGCCGGTAGTTTCGAACTGCTGACCTTAGGGTTAGCAGCCCGATTCATAACCACTACGTTACCAGAGCTCCTGATCTTCCTTGTAGGCATATGGATATTAACCTATCACAGACAGGATTACATTTCAAAATATATCTTAAAATGTTCTTTTTGATGATGAATGCAACGCCATTCCTCTTCAATTTTTCAATCCCACAGCTCAGTAAGCCATGTGATTGTCAGATTCAAAATAGTCAGTACCAGTCCATTTTAGCTCACTTGTTGTTATTGTCAGGTGCCATCAAGTCAGTACTGACTCATAGTGACCTTATGCACAGCAGAACAAAACACTGCCCAATCCAGGGCCAACCTCATTATTGTTGCCATGCTTGAGCCCACTGATGCTGCCACTTTGCCAATCCATCTGGCTAGGGGTCTTCCTCTTTTTCTCTGACCCTCCACCTTACCAAACATGATATCCTTCTCCAGCGACTGGTCCCTCCTGACAATATGGCTGAAGTATGAGAGACGAAGTTTGGCCATCCTGTCCTCCAAGGAATACTATGGCTGCACTTCTTCCAACACAGATCTGTTGGTTCTTTTGGCAGCCCATGGCATCTTCAATATTCTCCTCTAATACCATAACTCAAAAGCATCAATTCTTCTGTGGTCTTCCTTATTCACTGTCCAGTTTTGGCATGCATATGAGGTTACTGAAAATACCATGGCTTGGGTCAGGCACACCTTAGTCTTCAAGCTGACATCTTTGCTCTTCAACACTTTAAAAAAGGTCTTGTGTAGCAGATTTGCCTAATGCAATACATCATTTGATTTATTGACTGCTGCTTCCATGAGTGTTGATAATTGATCCAACTAATGCTTAGGATATCGATGTTTATGCGTCCCATTACATTTTTGAAAAATTCCAATTTTCCTAGAGTTATACTTTGTATATCCCATGTTCCCATTATTAACGGATCTTTGCAGCTGTTTCTCCTCATTTTGAATTGTGCCCCATCTGCAAATGAAGTTCCTGAAAGCTTTACTCCATTCACACCATCACGGTCAACTCTACTTTGAGGAGGCTTCCCCTGTCAGTGAAACAGAGTCAGAGAGGGGTCCAAAATATTCTGGTAAGTCTTAAGAGGAAACATCACTGTGTTCCAAGAAAGCAAGGGATGACTTTGTTGGAGGATCACCAACTTAGAACCCCAAATAATGGAAAGCATTATCTCCCCAAAAAGAATCTCATTCTAGTCATTGTTGTTAAGTGCCGTCAAGTTGGTTCCAACTCACAGCAGCTCACCAGGAAGCACCTGGTGAGTTTGAACCACCAATCTTGTGGCTTAAACCAATCTTTCAGTCCAGCGCATTAATCCACAGCACCGCACCAAGACTCGCAGGAGTTAGTAGACCTGTATTACAAAAAACTTATATACTCCATTTCTTTTATAATCACCTTCATGTTTGTCTCTTAACCTGTGCAGCCTAAATATTGACAATCTGGCCCTTTATAGAAAAAATTTGTCAACCCCTGCGCTCAACAGGCAGTTAGTTTTCCCTTTAGGAAAAAACCCTAAGACTGCCACAATCTGTGTCAATAAGAAAGACAGCAAACCTCCTGAACTAGGAAAACAGGAAAGAAACCAACTATCTTTCTCATGATGTTAAAACCCACTATCTGTCCAGGTGTCCAACTTATAGCAATCTGATAGGACAGAGGAGAACTGCCCCATAGGGTTTCCAAGGCTGTAAATCTTTATAGGGTTTCCAAAACCATGTATTTCTCCTATGGAACAGCTGGTGGGTTTGAACTACTGACCTTTCAGTTAGTAGCTCAACACTTAACCCAGTGCATCACCAGGGCTCCCTTCTTATTACATTAGTGTTTTTGTTTTGTTTAACAGTCAGTTACCTGCCCTCCAGCCTCCTGGAGCTGGCTCTGGATACGCTGGCAGAAGTCAGGATTGCACAACAGGGCGAGAGGAGCCTTCAGTTGAATGGGCGCAGGCTTGGTGCTCTCTAGCAGGTGCTGCCACTCCTCATCACTGCTGGCCGGCTCCTGAGACAAAGGGGAGTGGGAGAGCTCAGGGAGACGTTGTAAAGTATAAGGGTAGTAATTCCCAGTCTGGGGAACCAGGAAGTAGCTACAAGAAGCCCATGACTCCTTTGGCACAGATGCATTCTTTTTCTTCAGACACCAGTTTAAAAAAATATAGTTGGCAGATGTGAGGGGTCTTGAACAGTTTCTTGGAGAACACGGACACAGATGCGCAAAGCGGTGCCTAGGAAGGTATCTGCTGCAGCATAATTTGTAATTAAAAGAAAAGAAACATCATAAAGCCAATCATTAAGAAATCATAGCACTTCCGTATTAGGAAATGTTATGAAGCTGTTTTAAAAGTGTGATACCAGAATTTACTTGAAATGGCTTTCCTTTCCAAAGTCTTCTCAACTCCCACCAAATGAATGGGTGGAACCATGCAAATAGGGTGTACAGGAGTCTCACACTAGGATTGGTTAGTTTTGCCCTCCCACTAAGTTTAAAAGGAGCCCGCTCAGAAGCAAGAACAGACAGCCCAGGAGCAAACAGATAGAAGAGCCATGTGTGAAGCCTGAGCTCCCTGCTCAGAAGAGTGGCAGCAGCAGAGGTGACAGTCTGAAGAGACAGAGCAGCTGCGGACCTTCTGGCCCACGGACCAAGGAAAGCTAAGTCTCTACAGGCAGGAGGCTGACTTGTAGAATCTGTCTTCTGGTATTTATAGACTCTTGCTTGAGCAGGGCAGAGGCCAAAGGGCCACATGGCTGAGAAGCAAAAGACAAGAGCCAGACGTGTTTGTAGCACAACAAAGAAAAGGTGTTCCTGACTGGAGAACTGCTGCATCCTGAGTTGTTTCTGATGCTGAACTTTACTCTGTTCACTTCCCTAATAAACCCCATAATCATGAGTGTTGTCTATGAGTTCTGTGTGGCCACTGCAATGGATTATTGAACCCAGATGTTAAACAGAAAGTGCCATGGGAGGAACAGTTAGTGTCAGACAGGGATAAAGAAGGTTTAAGGGTAGAAGCATGTCTGATTTTCCTTCCTCTTTGTGAAGCCAGCGGAAGTCAAACATGGCCTTCCTGCCAGTTTTGCAAAGACTGTAGTACTGAGGATACAGGACTCACACATTATTCTTGTCAGCAATGCATAACTAAATCTAATTATGAGAAAATATCAATTTGAGGAACATTCTACAAAATAACTCTGTTCTCCTCAAAACTGTCAGTCACGAAAGACAAAGAAGGGCTCCAAGCTGCTTCAGATTAAAGGAGACCAATGAGATACAGGACTCCTGGTGTGGTGCTGCAGGATCAACACTGGACTTCGAACCACAAGGTCAGCAGTTCAAACCCACCAGCTGCTCCTTGGAAACCCTATACAGGGTTACTATGAATCAGAACTGACTCAACGGCACTCAATGAGATATAGGAGTTCTGTTGTGGTGCTGTAAGATATGCACTGGACTGCTGATTGAAAGGTCCACAGTTCAAACCTACAAGTCACTCTTCAGAAACCCTATACAGGGTCACTGAGTCAGAACAGACTATACGGCACTTAATAACAACAACAAATGAGATATAACAACTAAATGCAATGTGTAATACTTGACTGGATCCCGGACCAGGAAATGCTTTTGTTTGCTGTGAAGAATATTAAAGAGCAATGGAAAATTTGGAATATGAATTGGAGAGTAATTAACAGCATTATATCAATGGGAAGTTTTTTAGTTTTATAAGGTACTGCAGTTGTGCAAGTGTTCTTAGGAAATGCAATGAAAAAACCAAGTTCACTGCCATTGATCCGACTCCAAGTCATAACGACACTACAGGACACAGGAGAGCTGCACCCATAGGGTTTCCAGGCTGCAAGTCTTACCATAAGTAAAATGTGTATCTTTCTCCCTGGAGGGGGTTTGAACTCCCAACCTTTATGGTTAACAGCTGAGTACTTAACCATGATGCCACCAAAACTCCTTAGGAAACACACAACGAAGTGTAAAGGGGGATGTCTGCAACTTGTCCTAAGAGTTCATATACAGAGAGAGAAAACCATAAATCAACTATGGCAAAATAATAATAGTGAAGAGGTATGTGTGAATTTTTTGTAAGATTTTAACTATTGTTCTATAAGATTGAAATTGTTTCAAGACAAAAAGTTAAAACCCTGAAAAAGACAAAAGATTGAGGTCACATGGCATGCGCTGATGCAGAGAGATCTCTCTAACCTGGTCATATGGTAAAAGAGACATGGTGCCAAACAAAACATGGTATGAACTCAGTAATGTTAAAACAGAGTCCAACTATGTACTCCTGAGTGTGCATATATGTGTATGCAGGAGCACAGAAAAATGGGAAGGAGACGGACTAAACTGATAGGGGAGGTCACCTCTGAGACTGAAGGAAGGCTCACGGGGACTTTCATTTTTATCTCTGTGTTCCAATTTTTGGTAAGTATATGTTCAGATACTGTGGAATTAAAATCTATAAATAGATAAGAAGAAAGCAATTTTTTAATGCAAAAGGAGCTCATACTTGGCTTGGGAATCACTCTGTTCTAAAAAACAGCTAGCCAAACCCAAAGTCCCATGGCAGAAGGCCAAGAACCCTCATGGCTCACCTCATTTTCCAGGTCTGCAGCATCAAGGCTTCTCTGGACCCCCACCTCTGGCCTCAGCTCTGGGAATGCTTGTTCACAACCAACGGTAATCCGGTGTTCCCTAACAGAAAACCGATGAGTAGGGTGAACTCCAGACCTGTGAAGCTTAAGATTCATTAACTTGTCCCTCCCCTGGGCCCAGACTATGAATGAGGAACAACCCATACAAGACTGGACAGATACTTTGTAGGATATGGCCAGGACAGGACAGTTGACCAGCACGGACACATACTTCCTAACTGCCTTCCCACTTTGAATCTTACTCGCAAATCTTCTTTGGCAGTTTTCACCTGTGGATCTCAACGCATACAACTTTCTCTTTTGAACACAGGTGATCTTTTCCCTTTCAGTTAATGTACAAATGAGACATAAAGAAAAGGAAGTCCCCAAGTTTCCTGATCAGTCAGGAAAGCACCTAGAACTAGAACTCAGGAACGTAGGACCAAGACTCCCAGGGCCCTGTCCATATTGAGGCAATGATTGGTGACAGGGACCAGGTAGTATTTGCTTTGGTTGAAGTAAAAACTCTGCAAGATACTATAAATCCCTGGGTACACCCTGCTCACCGAGGTGTAAGAAGAGCCTCTCCAGCCCCCCATTCAGCCCAGCGGTTCTTCATTTCTGAAGCCAAGATCTCAGCCAAGAGGCCTGGTTCCTGAGGGGTGGCCTGTAGCCTGGGCAAAGGGGCTACACCAGGAGCCACCTTGCTGGTCCTGTCCTCTTGCTCAGACGTAGGTTCTGTGTTCTGGTGTTTCTGTGGGAGACAAGTTGGAGACACTGGGCCTAAACTATTTGGTTACCATAGGGCAATATGGGTCCTATTTGTGGTCCTTTCCCACCCCTAGAAAGACACTTTCCTAATTCTCCCAGTCACTAGCCTGGTCATATCTCAACACACCTCTGCCCCACACACCTTCTGCTTGGCCTCCTCAGCCATGCGTTTACGTGCCTGACGCAAGATGCGAGATTCATTGCCCTTGGGGGCCAGCCGATGTGCCTGTTCTTCCTTTAGGACCTGAAGTTCTGGGGGTAGGCGACTGGTAAAAGGGGTGCCCAAATCCAGGGTTGCAGGCTCGGTTATTACTGCAGAGAACAAGGGCAAGACATTACAACAACATGGGAGCTGCAGCCAGTATGGCCACTTGGCCAGAGACAATGTCAGTGTCTCTAGGCGTTCATGGAAGATCATTTTGGCAAAGTGACAAAGAATGAGAGAGGTTTCAAGAGAAGTGGCAAGGTCAGATAAAGGGCTAGGAAGGAAATTCAAGCTGGTGGAAGAAGGAAGAGGTGCTGGATGCACAAGTTTGGTGGAGGGGGCAGATAGTGGAGAGTACTGGAGTACTACACAAGTCTAGGGGTCCTGATGACTCACTGGTGACACGACCAGCAATGAAGGGGTGATGTAAGAGGTCTGGCCAAGACAGACGCTGCCGGGGATCCTTGGTGAGTAGTCCCTGAAGGAAGTTCTGTGGAGAGAGAAAATACTCTTTTGAGTCCTTTTTCTACTTCCCTGTAGGCTCTAGTTCATCAGCAGACTTGGCAAAACCAAGACTCCTGAGTATATTTTGACAGCAGAGTAGCTCATCTTGATTCTGCTCTTCCTATCTCTTTCCTCAGACCTCGTTTTCTTGTTAGCAATCAAGGACAGACTCCACTTCCTGGGAAGCCCCAGTTCTTGTCCCTGGAAGTTTCGGAATCCCAGAAACAAAAACAGAAACTTCCATGCCACTAACTTTGTGAGGAAGAAAGAAAAACTGGGAGACGGAGGGGGCTGTCACCTCCACAGTTATTTGTAGACAGCAAACACTCAGAGGCCTCCCACGCTGCTCACTGTGCCCTCCCTGTGATTAGGGTTTGTTTGTGTCTGGGTAGGAACAGATGTATCGGTGGTTAAAAACACACTCACACACACAAGCCATTGTTTAAAGATGTATTGGGGAGCACTCAAAACCAGAAATCTTTCAGGAAATCTTCAGATGGTAGAGGGATAGGGAGGCTTTCTACGAAAAGTGTACATCTGTTATGAGATATCCTTGGGAAAACCCTCAATTAGGCCTGAAACAGGAATATAAAGTTCTAGTAGATTATGACCACTGTTCTACAAGAAGGTAGATTAATGTAATATAGCTCTTGTTGGAGATACCTGCATATTGGCCCAAAAGGAGAATGAATTTCCTGAAAGTTCTTTTGTTCAGATTCTTTGCACTAATTTGTAGTTGTTGCTGTCAAGTCAGTTCCGACCCATAGCAACCCTGTATAAGGTTTCTGAGGAGCAACTAGAGAGCTTGAACCACCGATCTTGGGGTTCAAACAATTTTGCAGTCCAGCACATTAACCCACAGCACCACACAGGTTGCTTTTAAGCCAGTGACTTTTCTCAGTGAAAAATAAGCTGATTAACCCAGCAGCTTAGTGGGTTACACAAAGTCAGCAGTTTGAATCCACCAGCTACTCCTTGGGAGAAAGAGGAGGCTTTCTGCTCCCATAAAGATTTATATCCTTGGACACCCTATATAGGGTCGCTATGAGTAGGAACCAACTCAGTGACACAGTGGCAGCAACAGCAAACAGGCTGGGGAGAAATTTGGCCCTTCTTATCCTAGATACAGTAAAGGAGAGTTGTAACGACATTTCACTCTAAGAGAAGGTTGTATTTAAATTTCACTGAAGGCCCCAAATCTTGCTCTAGATAAGAAATTTAGTCAGAACTCCTCTCCTGCCCTTTAACTAGATAGGTAGTAGACTCCAGCCTGCTGAGATTCAACTGTAACGAACAGGTACCACCTCTATCATCGGCCCCTCATCCCCGAAGCACCCTGTCAGCGCCCACCATCCAGATGCCTAGATTCCTTCTTTCAGGCAGAGGGCTGAAAGCTGTATAGGCTGCACCTAGAGATCACTGGGACACTGCATCTGACAGAACACAAATGGAATAAAGGGCATGTGAAAGGACCAGTGTCTGTTTCTAGTGTCTTGAAATTACCTTTCATTGTGATCAAGTATAGCCTGGCCCAAAGAGAGGCTGCCATGCCCAAATATGACAGCGCTTAGAGCATCCTCCCAGGTAAACTTCTGCAGTAGAAGAGCAAGGCTGCTTTGGACCAGCTCTTGCAGTAGTTCTGTAAAGTCCTGCCCCTGCTCTGGAAAAGGATTTTAGAAAAGGGAACAGGGACAGAGGGAGCCACGCTTCTGATGTAAAAGCCACCTTCTGTTTTCTATTCATTACCTTGAAGCAAGGGCTAATAGTGGCAGGCCAGCGCACAGGGTCCTTGAGAATGAGGCTGACCAGCTCGAAGATGCTTGTGGTATAGAAGGGAGGGGTGCCTACAGCCAGTTCATACAGTATACAGCCCACAGACCAGAGGTCCGCTGTGTGATCATATGGTCGCTCCTCCACCAGCTCTGGAGACATATACAGTGGTGTGCCTTTGATGGATGTCAGCACCATTGTGTTGGTGCTCATAGCTCGGGCAAATCTAAAGGAGATGAAGGGACAGAAATGGGAAGGGAGAAGGTATCAAAAAAACAAAAAACAAAAAACTAGACTTCTATCATTGCATGAGATATCCCAAACCTGAGCAGAGAAAGTATCTATGATTAGGTTGCAAAAAACCCAGCAGGAGTCCCAGTCTTTAGCTCAGGTTGCAAAATGAGGCCCAACTCTGTTAAACAGATGGTCTCTGCGGAGCTGGAAACACAGATGGAAGCTTAGAGTCCTCACCCAAAGTCACAGAGCTTGATGCCACCACCCTTGGCAAGGAGGATGTTCTGAGGCTTCATGTCTCGATGCAGAATTCGGTGGGAGTGCAGATAGTACAGAGCCGACACCAACTGGGCAGCAATGGCCTGAACCTAGAGGCCACGCAGTCAGGCAGGAAAAAGAAAAGGCAGAAAAAAGGAGCATGCTGGAGATCTCCCTCATCCTACTGCTGATGGGATCTTTTCCTCCTTCCCTTACTTCTAGAGCTTCACAGTGTATCTTCCTTAGTTTTTGCTCCCCTTGTTCATTCATTATTTCATTCACTCATTCATTCCAGGAAAATTTACTGGATGTCACTTACTAGTTGTGTGACCATGGTCTAATTTTCAGATTCATCCTTTACAAAGGTGACAATATCTGCCTCACAGAATTATTGTGAGAATTACATGAGTTAATACATGCAAAGCACTGTCTGAATGGTATCTGGCATTTTGTAAGCATTCAATATACATTACCCATTGCCTTTGAGTCAATTAGAATTCATAGCAACTCTACAGAACAGAGAAGAGCTATCCCATAGGGTTTCCAAGGCTGTAATCTTTAACCAAGTAGAATGCTACATCTTTTCTCCCAACAAGTGGTAGTGGGTTCAAACTTCCAACCTTCTGATTAACAGCCAAGTGTGTAACCACTGCACAACCAGGACTCCTTTCAATATTTGTTGTTGTTAAGTACCGTCAAGTTGGTTCCAACTCATGACCCTGTATAGGGTTTCCAAAGAGTGACTGGTGAGTTTGAACCACCAACCCTGCGATTCAAACTGACCTTGCAGTCCAGTGCTTATCTGACAATGCCAGACCAAGACTTATCTAAAAACATTAGCTATTAATGGCATCCTTATGAGGTAATACTGTTATTATTCTCTTTTTACAAAGGAGGAAACTTAAGTACCAAGGGGACCCAGCTAAGAGGTGGCAGAGCCCAGCACTGACCTGCTGCTATTTTGGCTCTCGTGTTCATACACTATGCTACCCTATCACGTTACCTTTATATACACCTGGATTCTACTGTTTTTCTCAAGAGTCTTGAAAATGGAAACTCTCAGTGCCCTCAGCTTTCCTACCAGTATTTAACCTGGAAAGAGGTTAGGTCAGGGGCAGAGAAAATTTTGAGTCAAGAGGAATACCTGATCTTCGGGAAGTTTCCCATCATCTTCTAGGATCTGAAAGAGCTCTCCCTCAGCATAGTCTGTTACCACCACCACCTGCAGGGAGACAGTAATGGTGCCATTGCCTGGGAAATTCCTGGGACCCTCTGCTGGGGAGAGGTGACCCAAACCATCAAAGCCCACCTCTTTGTCAGTTTCAAAGCTGTCAAGCATGTGCACAATGTTGGGATGCCGCAGACCCCGCATGATTTCAATCTCTCGTTGCAGGTTCCTCAGCTCCTTCTCTGAGCGGCCCAATTTTGGAATGAACTTCAGGGCTACAACCTGTCAATGGTGAGGTAAATAGTCAAGGCCTAATGATACTATTGCGAAGGAGTAGAACTCCAACATTAGCCTGAGAGATGCTGAGCCCTGCCTTGACTGTTTTCACAACTTTCATTATCCATAATGATCTTCTTCCACTTTCTCAATGGTATCCTGACTGTAGCTAGGCTTCCCTTACCCCTGGCTCCAAGAGGAAAAAGCCTTGGCCAGACATATCCCTTTGGTTACCGTGGAGCAAACCTACAAAAAAGGTAGATGCTGGGAGATGTGTTTAAGATATTTGGGACTTAGGGGAAAGAGAAGGAAGAAAAAAATGAAGTGAGTGCACATGGTTTAACGCTTTCTGTATGATATGATAAATAATTATTGCTGTTGTTATTGCTGTTGGTTCCGAGTCACAGAGACCCTGTATAGGGTTTCCAAGGAGCAGCTAGCTGTTGTTGTTGTCAGGTGCCATCGAGTCGGTACCGACTCATAGCGACCTTATGCACAGTAGAACGAAACACTGCCTGATCCTAGGCCAAACTCACTACTGTTGCTACACTTGAGTCCACTGATGCTGCCACTTGGCCAATCCATCTCATTGGGGGTCTTCCTTTCTTTCTCTGACCCTCCACCTTACCAAACATAATATTCTTCTCCCAAACGTAATATCCTTCTCCCGTTACTATTCCTTCCTGATGATATGTCCGATGTATGAGAGGC